GTTTATATCTAAATCTAGATCTAGATCTAGATCTAGATTCTAGAGATATGAATCTAGGCCTAAATCTAAATAAGAAACACGTAAAAACTACTACAGGGGCACTTAGGCCTTGAGTGATTTAGATCTAGATCTAGTGCACATGGGACCGCTATTGTACAGGAGTGTCATTCAGTTCACGATAATTGATTCTGACATTGGGGAACAGCTCGCTGTGTAGTCAATCTAGATCTAGATCTAGATCTAGCCAACAGTTAGGCTGCTGGACTCTAGCAGTGGCCGTATCTTTAGTTTAAAAAATATCCAATCTAGGCCTATTGTATATTCTGTAAGACAACAGTTCATTGCAGAGCACCACTGGCTGTTCTGTCGTTTTTAAACTGTAAGATCTAATCTACTTCTACGTTTCGTAAACTCCTAGATCTACATCATCATATCCCTGAACATGTTCAACCCACTACCGCTTTCCGTTCATAAAAACCTTAATTTTCTCAACTCACTATATTCAAAATGTGAACAAAAACCAGTCAAAATAAATACCAAACAATTTATGTGAAAAAAAAACCCCAAGGCAAAACTGCCATTATGAAATTCGAAGTAGGCAGCTATTTCAGCGAGTTGAACGGTGTGCTCTTTCTTCCTGTCGTTTGTTTATGCTTTAAACGCGCAGCTAGCTGGTTACCAAGGGGAGCCAGTTGGAACGAAAATGAGGCTGTTGTCCCGTCTTGTCTTATTCCGTCTTGGGTGTTACAGATCTAGATAGATCTAGATTCTAGAATTTTAGATCTAAATCTATATGAAGCTTTACTGATTCCATCCATGATTTTTTTCGGATCTAGACAGAATTATTTTTCCCTGTTCAGTTTTAGACCTCTGGTGCATCAATTTAATGCATTACTGTGAAGCTCTAAGTTACTCTAATATGTATTGTGATATTCCAAACTGATGGGAATCAATAGAGGACTCTCTATATCAATAACAATGACCTATAATCTGTTTGTATTGTATTTTACCTCAGACAAAAACAAATGAGGAAAAACAATTGCGCAAGTTTAGTTGAATATCTTTCTTTGAAGCGCTTTTTTTTATACCAGTATTTACCAGGCTCTGTGTTGTTTCCCCTTAGATCTAGCCTACATATAGCAACAACAAAACAACGATTTTTGCAAAAATTTCGCAGTTTCGATCGATATTGGCGCTCAGAGATTGAGGTCATGCTCGTTTACAAACTCTATACTTACTTTCAACAACTTAAAAAACAGAACTATGTTAAAAAGTGCACATTTGTTTTGGATTTCGCTCGTATTTCGTTGAGCCGCTCCCAGTGGTCGAATGGAAGCAACGGAAAAATCAGAGTCACTGTCAGCGGCCGAATGGACGGAATCTGTTTATGTATCTTCCGTTGTTGGAAGTTCTGATGACCGAAGGGACAGCGCGTCTGCGTTTAAAGCCAAATCTTTATTTTATTAGCATGGGTTTGAATCCCAGTCCTGGAAGTTGTTTTTTTTTCTTTGTTTTTTTTGGCAGGCGCTATTTGCAACGCCGCGTTCTGAATAGTTCCCATGCTATTTGTAACGCCAGTACTAGATCTATGTCTGTTTATTTGGTAGCCATCATTTCTACATAATACTACTGTAGTTCTGCCTGAATTGTGGAAGCTTTCTTAGTTTCTTGATAAGCCTCCTAGGATTTGACTCCTTTTTTTATGACATTGTCTTATTCTGATCAATATGGGGTAGATCTAGATTAAATCTAACAATTGTTTCTGACTTTGTTTGCACAAAAGTAGACTAGACGTAGTCTTGTTCATCTCTCATAATCATAATCATTTGAGTTTGAGCTTGTAAGTCGAAAGCAATGAAAGACGGTGCAACTCGGTATAAGCAGTATTTCCTGTCCGCAGTGTTGTCATACAATAGATCTACCTAAAAATGTTATAATCTTTAAGTTAGGCCTAGAGAACGTGTATACAAGCTGTCTACATTCTCTAAGTCTAATGTTCACCAAGCATGGCATCCAATCCCGGTCCCGGAAGGTTGTTTTCTTTTCTTCTCCTGAGCCTAAAATTTAAAAAAAAGAAATACACTCAAGGACCAAGGAAAGCCACTATTGAACTTTAACCAGGCCTAAATTGGTAAAAGGAAAAGTATAGGCTATACTATAAGACCTATTTTGTACAGAGCTCCTCTTGGGGACAAAACCAGAATGTGCACGCTTCATCACTAAGTCCTCCATAAAAGAACAACTACAAAGCAACAAGTTATATTTATGGGAAAAATTTGTTTAAAAAAAAAAAGAAAAAAAAAATCCTTTAAGGACCTGGATTCAAACCCACGCTCATAAAATAATGATTTGGCTTTCAACGCAGACGCGCTGTCCCTTCGACCATCAGAACTTCTGACAACGGAAGGTACAGTAAGCTTCATATTGGCTAACGTAACCCACAGCGTTTAATTTAGCACTGGCGCTAGTAGCAACGCGGCATTGCAAATAGGCACTTTTTTTTTTTTTAATGTAGTGATGAAGCATGCACATTCTGGTTTTGTCCCCAAGAGGAGCTCTGTACAAAGTAGGTCTTATATTATAGCCTATACTTTGCCTTTTACCAATTCAGGTTGGGTTAAAGTTCAATTGTGGCTTTCCTTGGTTTGTGAGTCTTATTTTATTTTTTTTATATTTTAGGCTCAGGAGAAGAAAAAAAAAACAACTTCCGGGACCGGGATTCGATGCCATGCTTGGAAGCACTGAACATTAGACTTAGTTTAATAGTAGAGGTTTTACGGCGCTCGCAACTGCATAAGGTCATATGAGCGTCAGAAGATTAGAGGTGTTACAAGAGAGTAACGAACATAAAAAAGAAGAAGGGGAGATAAGGATGATAGATGTTTGATAGGAAAGAAGACGCAAGCCACACCAGAGCACCCGCCAACCACCCACTTCCTCATTAGACTTAGAGAACATAGGCAGCTTGTATACATTCTCTAGGTCTAACTTAAAGATAATATTTTTACGTAGATCTATTGTGTGACGACACTGCGGATGGGAAATACGACAACGAAAAAAAAAGAAAAACAAAAAAACAGCAGGTACCACAAACTGAGACATAGATCTACATCTAATGTGTGTAAGCATGCACTTGAGATAAGCAAGTAGGTGTGATATGTGCATGTGTGTTTGCGTGTTAGATGTGCGTGAGAGTGTGTGTGTGTGTGTGTGTCTGTGTGTGCATGTCAGCGCGTACGTGCATGAATATTGTTCGTACATATGATGCATTTATGTAAAGCGCCTTAAGCTGTGTTCACACGGGAGTGGGCGCTATTGAAAAGATCTACATTATTATTGTTTATAAATGGAAAAAATTGTTTTAAAACAGAAAATATCTAAAAATCGATCTAAACACAGATCACAGGTGTATCGAAGGTTTCAAGAGAAAAATGGAACTGGATCTGAATTGATTGAAGCATAAACTTATTTTTGCATTTTTAGAGGTTGTTTCGAAAATCTCCCGTCAAATTTTTTTTTTACTAGATCTAAACCTCATGACACTTCATACACTTCTAGATCTTTACTTGAACCAAGTACCAGATATGTACTAAATTTGGTGAAATTTTATGCTTTCGTTAAAAAATTATTACGGAAACCGAGGGTTCATTTTTTTTTGGTGTCATGCAGTATTATATTATATTTGGTCAATAACTTTTTGTTAAGTTGATAAAATTTGTATTGTGCATCATGATTTGTGAAAAGGCTGTTCTTCTTTTGCTACTCAAATTGTCTTCTTTTTTTTTAGCTCAAAATTTTAAGCCCGTTTTAATTTGTCTGGGATAGGAAGGCTGCAATTTGTTTTCAATTTTTAGGCAGTTTACTTTGCAATTGTTCTATTTTAAAAATGTTATTTTCCACGGGGCCAGATACATTAAGTTCTCGAATATTTGAGATCCAAATCTGAAAAAGTCAGTAAGTTCATTTTTGCCAGTAATGTTTGTGATTATTCGTTCGGCTTTTTTCGGTCTGAGAGTACGTTTCACACAAACAGGCGGCTATGGCGGCAGCTGGAAGTGTATGTGTGATAGCCAGGCTTGATCGGAAAATTAAAAATGTTACATAACAATGACAGCGTGGCAAAATGGTTGTGACCAACTTTTCCTCCTGATTCAAGTGGTTAAGTGGCTAGAAGAAAGAGACAGCAGCACTGGAGACCTTCTCTCGTATTACATTCAGAAAATTATGACCCAGCCTGGCATGATCTCAGGTGTTGATGAGCCTCAGCCTCAGAGGTTTTGTCTAAAATGGTATTGATAGCTGTAGAACCCTGTCACCAAGTGAAACAATTCTGCCATGGGTCTCAATATCTGATAAAGTGTAAGTGATATCCAGTTGATTTACTGTCTGTGTTCAAAAGATTACATAAACATTTTTGTGGTCTGATATTTTACTTTTCCAAGCTGAAAATGCCTGTAGAAGGCAGTTTTAGATATCTTAATTTTTAAAAAATTTCTAGGGTCTGTAATAATTTGAATTGGTGCTTGATCCTGGTTGTGATATTTGATGTTCCAGCGTGACAATGGAGTAAAATAAGAGTACATGCGGGATGATTTTGGTCATCTTGAACAGGTGGTCCTCTTGGACATTGTTATTATGATCAATCGGGGGGGAAAAAAAATTTTTCCTGAAAATATTTGCTTACAATTGATCAGCTTGCTGACGATGTAGAAAAAACAAAGTGTGGGGAGTGGTCATTTGAACAGGTGATTGTCTTTGACAGGTGGTCGTAAGAACAGGTCCAACTGTCCTTGTCTTCATTTTTCTCTCACTTGTGATGGAATAAATGCAAACACTGTGAAGTCTACACAGTTCTGTTGCACAAAGCAGCTCACAGAAATTACATTAAATCATATGGTTTGAAGATTTTTTTCTCTCGTAAGTCTTTTCTTTTCTGCACTCAAACATTCTTCCAGGAAAGCAAATCACAACCAGGCAGTTTCTTTTTGTTTTGATTCTAGTCATGAAACAAGAAATACCCAGTGGAAACATCCTGTGACTGGAAAGAAAAAGGTTGTGAAAGGAGGTAAGGTGTTTTTAAAAATCTGGTATTCCTGGACATAATTATATTAGTAGATTAATAATATTTAATTACACACAGTGGAAATTGTCTAAGTTGGCCTTTCAGTGGGAAGAGGTCATTTGTTTAGATGGGTGTCTAGAACAGATGGAGTATTCAGGGTAGGTTGGACTGTTTATTATACATATATATATATATATAGCCCACATGCTCCTCCTCAAAAGTAGGTTCAATACATTTTACAAATTGTCGTAGGCTTGATAGACCCTATAACTTTGTAAAACAATCTTAGCTTTCTGGACATCCATACTGTAGAAATGATTTACAATACTTGTACTAAAAATGGAAAAGAATGATTAAACGGAAAAGGCGTGCAGCCAAGTGCATGCCATACAGTTAAATAATGTTGAAGTGTCTCCGATCAAACTAGTGTATCTGATTCTCTTTTTATTACTTCATTTCAGAGCTACCTTATGGATGGGAAAGAAACGTAATGGAAGATGGAACTGTGTACTTTGTGGAGTGAGTCCATCTGAAGTTTTTGTTTGTTTGTTATATATAACCAAGCTGAACATAAAGTGAAGGCTGTTGGCCTAAGTCTGAATTCTGAAATTTCTTTTGCTGCATTCTTTTAATTACAGAGGTAGAACCAGGGTATTGCTTGGAGAGAGCAAAATATGTTCACATTAGGATTTTTTACTGAATCATGGTTGTCAATCTTCTGATGTTCTTATCTTGTTATTAGTGCCAGGAGTGGGGGAGCCCTCATAAAAGCTTAATTATCAGAGCTGCGTGGAAAAGAATTCTGTAACCATCATATTTTTGTTCAGAATATTGTGTCTTTTTAAACTGATAGAAGGAACAATTTGTCCACGAAACAACACCAGGGTGAGGAATAAGTGCTGTGGTTAATGAAGATCTTTACATACAGCTTTTTACTAAGTTGATTAGTAAAAGATAAAAGTAAGACAGATGTCATATCTTCATATACTCCACTCTCTGAATTTTCTTTGATATCTTTATGGTTTCGTTTCCATTCCAGCCATGTCAACCAGAAGACAACATACACAGACCCACGCTTGGCATTTGCAGAAGAAGTGAAAGATACTCCGCTTGACTTCAGGCAGAAATTTGATGGCAGTTCCACGGCACTACAAGTGTTACAAGGCCGGGACCTGACCGGGAAGTTTGCGCTCATTACTGGGGCCAGTTGTGGCATAGGTCTGTACTCAGAAATACCCCTCGGGGCTGTGCTGTTGACTGAAGTGTCTTTAGGCCATTGCCACAGGGGGGAAAGTAACTATGTTCATATGCACAGTAGAATTGTAATTGTAAATGGGCTGATTCATCAATGTCATGGTCATAACTTTGTCTGAACTTCAACCAGCAACTGCTGCTTTTTTTTTCCTAATCCTTACTATCGTCATTTTCCTCTACTTCTTTTGTATGTTTGTCACACTTTTGTGACCCGTTATTTCTGGGGTGCCTTGATAATCAATGCAGACTTTGTGCTGTTGAAGCAAGAGAGGTGAGCAGAGTACGTTTGATTCCCTGTAAGAACCTCTCTGTTGACATCCACCCCTTGGCGCTCATATGACCTTATGCAGTTGCGAGCGTCGTACAACCCCTACTTAAACAAAACAAAAAATCATAAATTTATAGATATGTATAGCTCTTTGTGGAATAGGCAGGTGGAACTTTTTCTCTTATCACCCCACCCTCCCCCTTAAGTGTGGAACGTGGAAATTTTTTCAGCACTGCACTCTCAAAAGATTCAGCTCTTCTCTTAACTTGATATAAGTGTGTGAATATTACTTTGGTCATGTGGTCTCTGTCCTTCTTTCATCCTTTTTGCTTAATTTCTGCCCTTTGCCACGAACCATTTTCTTCCCCACTCAAAAGCATTCTATTCATGCCCATAAGGATATCACCCCATTTCCTCAAAGATGATTTCAATCTCTAATCATTTCTGTGTTAAGCAGGAAAGCAAATTTTGAACAGGAGAGGGGGGGGGGGGGTCTCACTTTATTTGAAAGGGGAAAAAAAGATTTTTAAATATTTTTTTAGGGGGGGGGGGTTGAAAAAATGCACATAATTATAGACCTGCATGTTTGCCGACAATCGTCTGAAATCCGACAATCGCGACCCGACCCGCGAACCGGCCGATGCTATCGCTAGGCCCGCCTGTATCAGTCAATGTGCGTAGTGCGAGGCTTGGCCGACTGCCAGCGACCCCCTTTTCTCCCTTCGGCTTCGTCGGCACTTTCGTTTTCGTGCCGACCGCCGACTGCCGACGTCGGCGTTTCCAACATAATTGTCGGAACCTAAGTAGAAATGCGAATACGAAAAAGGACGACAACTTAAATTATCTACTTTCAGTTTCGTGCTCGAGCGGCCATTTTGAATTTCGTTTGTTGGCTAATTCAATTGTTCAGATCGTGTGGATTCATTCAAGTCCGACTCTCTTGTTCTAATAGAATCTAGATATCTAGATTTAGATCTAGATTTATATATAGATCATTATAGACCTCAATGGAGGATTCATATTCCAATTCTCTTGTGTCAAACCCTATCATAGGTTGTGCTGTAATATTAATATTGGTAAAAATAACATTTCAACAGGTGCGTGAATTATTTATAATTATTTATTTAGATTCTAGATCTAGATCTAGATATCTAGATCTAGATCTAGATCTAGAATCTAGTACTATAGATCTAGATTGTAGATCTAGATTCTAGAATATAGACTCAGCTGAGTCCCTCTGTTCGGAATCGGATGCGGATTTCTAGTTCAAGGCCTATTCCTATTCACTTGTTCTACAAGATCTAGAGTCTAGATCTAGATCTAGATCTAGATTTAGATTCTAGATCAAGATTTATTTAGATTACTAGATCGAAGTGGCTAGCCGTACTTATGACTGTCAGTCTAGCCGTACTTAGATCTAGATCTAGATTTATAGATCTAGGTTTGTTGGCCCAATCGACTGAAGCCTGTTAAGTACACAGTAGGTCTCATTAGATCTAGAGTCACGACCCCACTCATGGGCCACTAAGCTACCCACGTAGGGAAAATCACTCTCAGACTCAAATCCAGTTATCAATGTTTTTCTTTTAGTGCTGTTATGAAGAGTAACATGCCCTTGGACCATTTGAGGGGTGTCCCATGCTTGGCACTTGGTATTTTATGTTAGTAATCCAACCTTTTTTGGGACAGAGTCAGAAAATCCTAATTACCCCCCAAATGGGACAGGCTCCTCACATGGGACACTAAGGCACCCAATATGGGACACCCCTAGTTTTCAGCTTGTTGGGACACTAATGTACTCAAACTCAACATGTAATTTCATTGCTTGATGTTCTGCTTTCATTTGTGCATGTAAATTTCATTTTCACTTTAAAACAGTGGTACTGATACACTGAACAACAATGACATATATATAGGTCTATTATAGTCTATATATATCATCATGCTCCCAACAAACATGCATGCCGTAACAATTTCACAACACATGGTGCAGGACACTTTTGATACTTGTAAATCCTCTCTGGACACTTGAGCAAACCTGGATCAACTTTGCTAATGTCTTGTTTTGCTTTTTCAAACCAGTTTAAAAAATGTTTCTTTTGTGACTGACGCTCTCTGGCTCCCGTTAAGTGCTTGGGACTTGGGGTGTTCTGATTGAAATGGCATTCTTTTGTCTCTAAATAAAGCATACAATTTTAATACTGCTTGAAGGCTTCCCTAAAGCTCTTTTTTTTTGGGGGGGGGGGGGGGGGGGCTGAACAGCATCCACTGTAGCCTGGATGACATCTTCAGAGTTGGCAAGGCGCTTTGATGGTGCCATAGTGCTGAAGAAAAAACCCCACTCCAGCATGAAAGTTCAGTGATCAATGCCAATTTGTCCCACTTAAAAACTCAAACATAAGTGTATCAGTACCACTGTCTCTCTCTGTAGACTGAGTGGTTACTTTCAAGAATTAACATTAAAAATTGTCCCATGTAACTTGAACAGAGTAGCTGTTACAATATAAGTTCAAAACTAAAACCATGTTGCAGCTGTCCCATATGAAAGCCGTCCCATATATATAGGAAGCCGTCCCATACATGGGTCCAGCAGTACTGGACCTGTCCCACATTAAAACCAATACCTTTAATGGGCCACCTGTCCCATGTTAGGGATAGGGGATAGCACTAGAATATTGAAAACTGGCCCATCTAGGGCTTCACACCCTGAACTGGGGAGCTGGCCCATCTAGGGTTCCATAGTGAAAGACAGTACCCCTCACATGGGACAGCCAAAATCTCGGGACAGTGGTTGATTGGAGGAAAAAACCCTGGCTGACACTATTTTTAGGTTTCAGGAAGACCCTTTGGGCCAGTTGTTGCTATTTTAAACTTATGATGTCATTCACAGTACCTTTATGAACTTTCACACAAAAGAAATGAAAGTGGTAAAAATGGCGGCGGCCATTACTCGCCTACTCGACTGAGAAGAAAAAAAAGGTCTCACAAGAAAAGTAAAGTCACGAGAAGGCTGCCACTCTTGCAGATCCAAGAAAAATATGTCTAGATTGGATCTAAACAAAAACCAGGCTGCTGAAAGCCGCGAAATTTTAACGAGACACGATCAAACCGACTCGATTCAGTCAGTGTCCCATTGAGGGAGGTGTCCCACGAAGGGGGTCGTGACTCTAGATCTAGAGATCTAGATTCTAGTTCTAGTAATTATTCAGGTTCAAATACATGCAAGTCAGTAAGGCACCTTTGGTTTTGTCTGAAATACAAATACTTTTGGCATTGCAAACTAAAAATTTCATTTACAATTCAGCCATCAATATTAAGTACGGCTAGCCTGACAGTCTAGCCGTCCTGCCTTAAGTACGGCTAGCCTAAGCCTGGTTGTCTTCCCGTACTTATCTTAGGCCCTATTAACATTAGAAAACAGGAGGTTTAAGATATATACACTGTCATTGAGGCACCTGGTTTCGTTCAAAATACAAATGCTTTAGGTACTGCACACTAAAAATGTCTATTTACAATTCAGTAGGCCTACTTTTTGTAAATGGTCAGTCTAGCCATCATATTCATATTAAGAATAAGTACGGCTAGACTGCGAGTCTAGCCGTACTTAAGTATGGCTAGACTGCCAGTCTAGCCGTCATTAAGTACGGCTGGCCTCTTCCTTACTAATCTAGATCTATATGGAGGATTCATATTCCAATTCTATTGTGTTATTGTATCAAACCGTATAGCAATGTAGATGTAAGCCATATAAATCTAGATCTAGATTTAGATCTACATGCTCCTTGTTTGTTTTGGAGTGTGGTTTTTTAATTAAATTTTTTTTTTTCATTTAGGACTTGTTTTGGCCATTTTACATGAGGCGCGTTGCAGGTTCTTTTTGGGGGTAGGGTTAGGGTTAGGTCTCTTCTTTATTGTGTTTGTTGGGGTGGTCGCTCGTTACTCGGATGTCCTTCCTTATGACACCCACAAAGGCTTTTTTTTTGGGGGGGGGGGGTGCGCAAAATTTTCAGACAATCTGATTGAGGCTCACATGCAGGTCTAGTGACATATTATCACCCGTAAGTTCATAGCACATGTAATTATAACAAATTAGTCAAATTGAGTGAAGAAGGTTTTCTCATCTCCCAGCCTCTACATCTGTTTCAGGTCTTGAGACCGCCCGTTCCTTGGCCATACACGGAGCGACGGTAGTGATGGCGTGTCGCAATATGGAGGCAGCTCACGCCGGGCGGGCTCTCATCCTGGCTGAGCAGCCCAAGGCTCAGGTGGAAGTGCTGCACGTGGACTTCTGCTGTCTGAGGAGTGTCAAGGACATGGCAGAGCAATACCAGCAGAAGGGATGGTAAGTAAGGTCTTTGCTTTGACTTTCTCCCCCTTCGCTCACATCCAGGCTGTTTGATTCAACAGTCATCTCCGATAGACCTGAGTCAAATATATATATATTGAGAGCTTTGTAAAAATTGATCAATCATGGGAAAAAAATTGATCAATCATGCAACCCCAACTTCCACAACCCCTCTTTAGAGTCTGGTCCAGGGTGGAAAACACCACAGGCCAGAATGATACAGCTAATGACGCAGTAAGTCTAATTGTCTCCCTCTCCCCCCCCCCCCCCCCTTTCCCATCCCAACAACATATCCACTGCCTTTGACTTTCTCTCACCTCCCCTCTCTTCCCCACTGATAACATAGTATGCCAATGCACCCAGAATTTTGTCCCCTCCCCCCCTCCCAATTACCTCTCTAAAAGTACATTAACATCATAACATCAGACCCTCATTTTCTCATTGTCTCTATTTCTCCAACCCCTCCCCCACCACCACCTTGTCCTTTCACAGGCCGCTACATTTGCTGATTCTGAACGCTGGCGTGTTTGGCCTGCCTCACTCCACTACGGAGGATGGGCTAGAGACGACATTCCAGGTGAACCACCTGGCTCAGTTCTACCTGACCAAGCTGCTGATCAACACGCTGATGAGGTCAGCCCCAGCCAGGGTCATCGTGGTGGCCAGTGAGTCGCACAGGTCAGCTCTCAGGGAGTGTGGAGATGATGGTGTTGACAATGGTGATGACCAAGTTTTTTACAACAATGTGCAGAATTATTCTTGGTATTAGTCTGTGTATCTTTCTTTGTATAAATATCTAATTAATCATTATTGATTAAAATTGATGCCAACTTTTGTCAATATCAGAATTAAATATCTCTGTTGTCCTAATCTCTCTTCCTTTTGTTGGTTATTCTTTTGTAACACATGTAATCTTCAACTCTTATGTGACTAAATTGTGTTTTACTTTCCGTTAAACACTTACTAAACACCCACTTGGGCGGTGCTACTGACTGAAGTGTCTTTAGGCCATTCCCAAAGGGGGGGACCTTAACATCTCGAGTTCTTATGCACAGTACAATTGTAATTGTAAATGGGCTGATTCATCAATGTCATGCTAATAACTGTGCCTGAACTGCAACAGGAAACTGCTGGTTTTTTCTTTCGTAATCCTTACTGTCGTCATTTACCTTTACTTATTTTGTATGTTTATCACTCTCTTGTGACCAGCTGTTTCCGAGGTGCCTTGATAGTTGAAGTAGACTTTGTACTTTTGAAGGTAGAGAGGTTCCCTGTAAGGACTTCTCTGTTGACATTTACCCTTTGGCGCTCATAATATGACCTTATGCAGTTGCGAGCGCCGTAAAGCCTCTACTAAAGCAATAAAAATACTCTTACTAAAACTGAATTTCTCCACCCTGATAGATGGAATAAACTTTCTCTCATTGATATCATGGTCCAGGTTCAGTGATCTGAAAGAGAGCAACATCAGCCTGGACAAGTTGTCCCCCAAGTCGGGCCAGTACTGGCACATGAGCGCCTACAACAACTCCAAGCTGTGCAACATCCTGTTCTCCAACGAGCTCAACAGCCGCCTGTCTCCGCACGGCATCACGGCCAACGCCCTCCACCCGGGCAACATGATGAGCTCACAGCTCTCGCGCTACTCCTGGTTCTACCAGATCATCTTCACGCTGGTCAGGCCTTTCACCAAGTCCATGGTGAGTCTTTGCTTACGGGACACCTGTGATGAGAAAAAGTATTTGTATCGCGTCATGGTGGTGAATTTGGCTCTCGTCAAAATAATGAAACTGAAGAAACAAACAATTTTCCGCCAGTTGAGTAATTTTTATTTAAATTACGTCCTTTAGAAAATATATTTCTTATTTCTGTATGGCTTTTATTGAAAAACCATATATTGATCAGAAAATTTTAATTTGCGGAATCCAAGGACACTCAAGCGTTGGCACCAAACTTTGGTGGACATTTTCTTGCTCATTGCCAAAATGACATCTTTTCCAAGAGTTCATTATACCAGACATTTGTAACACTTTCCCAAGAGTTCATAATACTTGCCTGCAAGCTTGTAACACATTGTACTTTCCTAAAACTTCTTAATTCTTCCCTAAAAGTATGTAATGTTTCCCCAGAGCTGATAATACTTTTTCGAGACCTCATAAAAAGAATGGAATAAGCTTTTCTAAAATCACAAGCTGCCTTTGCCTATTTGTTCCCCCTCCTCATCCACCCCTCTGCCAGCAACAAGGGGCAGCCACAACAGTCTACTGCTCTATAGCCGATGAGCTCACCAACGTTGGTGGTCTGTACTTCAACAACTGCTGTCGCTGCCTGCCCACCAAGTCGGCAGAAAACAAGGCCCTGGCTGTCACCCTGTGGAGCATCAGTGAACACTTCCTCAACAAGAAAACCCAGCATCAGCAGCAGTCTGGAGACAGTTAGAGGAACCACTGTCAGTTTACCACCCTACAGCAGCACTCAAAACGGTTTCTGACCACATTCAGTGGATTCTGCTTCTTTTCGGTTGTGCTTGGACCAGGTATTTGTGATTCTGTTTACTATTTTCATTGAAATACACAAAGAAAAGAAATGAATAGTTCCCTTTTACAACAAACAGAATATTTTTTATCCACAGAATTTTGTTTTGTTGACCTGTAATCCTTTTTGCCTATGCCCCCCTCCACCCCCACTCACGCCCCTTCAGGTTTGCTCTGTGCTATAAGAGATAATGTGCATCTAGTCTATATTGTTAAGTTCATCTTTGTCCATATCCCTCATGCTTATCATGTACGATCCATCCAAGCAGTGTCGTCTAAACAGGTACAGAGCGGATGTGTTGCTGGTTGTAATGCCGTCCTTTACCATGTGTTGTGTAGTCTCTGGTCTGAGGAAGGATGCACAACAGAACTAAAGTTCTGTATTTTTAAGTGCCCTCATCATTAGAATAGATCCTACAGTCTGTAAATCTTCAGTTTATAGAATATGTCAAAGAAATAAGCGCTGTATCAGTGCCGACTTGGCTACAGACATATACAGTGGAGTCTGCTTAAACCAAAATCTGCAGGACTGCTGAATTTTAAAAAGTTTAGCCATTTTTATATGGTTTAGAGAGATCGCATAGCTAACCTACCATAGAAAACTGCCTCTCCCCTCCACGCATAACGGAAACAGAGGATGAAATAGTAAAGTAAAAGTAAGTTGGAGAGATTGCTCAAATAGCGAAGAAAAATTAGAGATTCTTCATTCTTGCCACTACTTTCGAATTGACCATAATATTCAGTTTAAGCATACTCCACTGCATGTTACTAATGTTAATGACATACAGCTCTGGGCCTTGGAAAGGCTGCAAAAAGAGTTACACCCAGAGATATGTTTGTGACACACCCACATTGATGACGACTGTGGAAGTCATTTTGGGTTTACTTCGAGGTGGCTTAACTTAAGGTGTCGGTGAGGAAAGGTTTGCTCAAATTTTCCATTGATCTATGTGTTCATTTATTTAGCTCGTAGTTTAATGCTAGTGTGGGCCCCATATCTTTTTTGTTTGGGGGTATGTAATGCGGGGCTTCTTTCACAGAGATTTCTCTCAAGAACTGATTATATCTTGGGTAAATAACATCATTTCTGAGAGGGAAACTTGGATTTTAACTATTCGTCAGACCTTGTTTGCAGTTAATTCTGCGTCAGTAGTATAGTGGATAGGCTACACGACTCTTAATCATGATTTTGGGAGTTGGGATTCGATGGTCAGCTCAGCATGTTGTTGTGTCCTTGGGGAAAGGCACTTTACACGATTTCATTATCCTCACTTCACCCAGGTGTGAAGGGTAGCTGGCCATAGACGGTGAAACATCGAGTCAGTTCGTTTTAGTTTTTTAGTGGCTGTAAAATGGCAGCTTGCTCTGCATATTTCCCAAGAAGTTGAGGTTGTTCCCGATTGTTATAAGGTATGCTGGGGAGAAGAATATAGATTGTACGGGGCATAGAAATTACTGTAGACCTGGAATTTTGCTATACAAATTATATTTATATTAGTATTGTTTGTATTAATTGTTTTATCATTATGAGGCAATCATTTTGCCATCCTCTCTTTTCTTTTTCATTTCTCCCAAAAGCTTTCGTCCTTTGTAAGGTTCCCATCTCATGATCTATTGCATTCATTGATATTGAAGAAGACACTTGCCTGCATCTGTATTATGTGATCAATGCCATTCCACTCTCTTGATAGAGAGACAACTATATCTATATAATGTATATATCAAAAACTGCTTGTTGGCTGTTGTAGTAGATACATGTACCATTTCATACTTAACCCTATTTTTACACCTTGGTGTCATTTTGTACTCCCGGGGTTGTATTCTTTACATTTTAGAATACTTTTAGTACGAAGATCTCTTTGAAACTTTCAGTATTTCTCAAATAACCATTTTGACAGACTGCTATGCAAAGCGTAGGCCTACGGATCAGATTTAAGAGTAAGTTTCCTCTTCGGAAAGTGGTGACACAGAGTTCCCCACGTCGTATGGATACAATAATAAAACACGATGTACGGATAGGGTTAAAATGTAACGCATTATCATACATTTAGCACTACTGGAGTCCACCTCTTTTAAATAATCTCAATGGAAAGAGCAATATAGTTAACTAAGAAATTGAAACCATCTAGGTTTAAGAATTTGTCATAGCAGTTGTGCATTGATTATAGCTCTGAAGTAGTGTGTATTAGAGCTGTAATTATTTGTGTGGTGTGCTGACAAAATGTGTTGCTTCTCGCAATCCACAAATAGAGCTATCAGCTGAAAATTGACACATAATATTTCGCCGGCTTGGGACAATACTGCGACAAGCGTCATTTTGTAATTTTACAGGAAGGCGAAAAAACGTTCTAATTTCTACCAATATAGCCCAAGAAACGTCAGATTAAAATATGTTGCTACTTATACACTGTGTCATGCTGTAACACCAATTCCCTCCTAATTTTTATTCAAACTACGGAGAAATTTCTGGAAGATGGTGTTTGTCGCAGTGGAGCCTCATGCAACAAAGCGTCACAGGGTGTTTGTGTTATTTTGACACAAGAGACGAATTGGATAAGTGCTAACAAAGTCCTTTGTCGATAATTTTCTAGACCTCCCGTTCCCATACAAAACCTTTTAAGCCACAAAATCATAATGGGGAAGACCAATCTATATTGTTTAGTGGCTTTGACACCTGCTTGAGTCTTGGAGGATGAATGCCTATCCTATCATATATACTTTGAGGGATATTCAAGTAGTCTTGCACTCCATTTCCCTGTGTAGCAGCACGCCCTTCTTAACCTACTTATAATTACAGGAATTTAAACTATAAAGAGAGGGGGAGGGGAAAAGAATGTGTGCTCGACTGCGACACAAACACACACAGAGCGAGTTAGAGAGAGAGAGGGAGAGAGTGAGATATATATATATATATATATATATCAACCAGAGAACAACACTCTTCGAAACAAGAACATTTAATTACCTTCACAACTGAAGAAAGTAGTGACTGAAATTTTAGAAAGATTTTTTCTAAAAACTTGAGACAGTTCTCAAACACAATATGGTATCAACATGTCTATAACTCGAATTTGAAATTAATCTTCATCGTCCTCTTTGGTATCCTTACAAACAGGCAGAGAGAGATAAAATGCTCTATATCTGACTGGGATCTGGCCGGAGTCACACAGAGCAATTAGATCCTTTTTCTTGTCCTCTGGAATGCCGGGCTCTGGTAGGCCCTTCATCATTTGTACGTTGGCAGCGTCGACAAAGTCACCACTCACTCTTTTTCCTTCTGTTGAGATTCAGTCGCTGAGGAGGACCAACATAATAAGATGTCTTGATGAGCAGAACCTCAGGATCGTCTGCTCTGACAATAACCTGTCTCACTTTGGACCATACTATCTTCTCACCGTCCACATCCATTATGAGGTTTCTAATACAGGGTGCCCACTACGGCTGGATCGGGCCGATTGCCCGACTCGATCGCCTGAAACTGAAAACGTACACGTTTGTTTTTGAGGTGATCGAGTCGGGCGATCTCAGCCGTAGTGGGCACCCCGTATTACTCTTCTGGACATCGATTTGAAATCAATGAAGTCCCGGCCTGACATTTCCCTGACAATGTATGGCTGTTTGGATACTCATGCTGTCCTTACGGCAGTGAACCATTGCTCTGGTGTGTACAGTTCAATGTGCCTTGTCTTTCTTTCTACTGTCTCATTCTACTTTCATTCTGTCTCAGTGTGACCTTTTTCTAGAAAAGTATGCGTGACTGAATCAAGATGAAGGTTTTGATATGCAAAGTGCAGGGCAAAAGCAACGAAGCGGTTGCGGTTTTGCCCAGCACAATTGTCTGAGAACATGTGGACATCTTTGACACCACACGCTGATGTCTGGTTGATAAGATAGTTGTAAAGACAGGTGGCAACTTCATTCGATCCTCGACGGCCTTCATTTTCAGGCCACATAAAACAGAATGCATCTCCCTGTCTGTAGTCATAAATCGTTAGATTGTAAACTCCAAGCCTTCTTTTGTAGAAAAAAAACCTTGAGTTCTATGAGAATAAAAAGGAGAGAAATTGATATTAAAGTATGAAGTAAACATGTCATGGTTATTGTCGTCTGGGGGAGGGGTTTGTCCGTCTAGTCGCATTTTTTTCTGTTCTTTTCTTAGTGTGTATGAGTGTTTTAAGGTGGGGCAACTTACCACGTATCCCTCTTGCATTCAGGGTTACCACTCGCAAGCCTGCCATCCTGCGTTCTATAAG